AACTCCCGTTTACCCCCAAAGCTGTGACTGCCACTCCCACCAGTGCCCACCGCAGCTGCTGTCCCCTGCCACGACCCTCTCCTCTCCTCCACTCCACGTACCGTGTCCAGGACGTCGCTGCTCATCCTCACCAGGAAGGCGGGCAGGAGGTGGAAGAAGTGCAGCAGCTCGGCCAGGTGTCCCCGCCGAGCCGCCCGGGCCTGCAGCCGCCGGGCCGTGCCTCGCAGCTCGGCCTCGCTACCCGCCCGCAGCATCACCACGTAGCGCCCGGGCAGCCGCCACGACGCCTGCGGGGACACCAGCACCGGGCTGGGGTTCGGGGGACACGCACACAGGAGCGTGGCTGTCCCCCCACCCCACGCTCCTCACCTTGGCGGCGCGATGGAAAGCAGCGAGTCCCGGAGGGGCGGCCCCGACGGCGGCTTCCCCCTCCTCGGCCGGCCCCAGAGCCAGAACCAACTCCGCCAGCGCCAGCAGCAGCGCCAGCTCCAGCACCCGCGGGGACATCCCGCACCCGATGGGCAGCGCCGGGAGACGCGGGACCCTCGGCGGCGGGACCCAGCGGCCGGAGCGCACCCGCGGAGCCGAGAGGCCGCAGCGCAGTCGAAGGGCTGGAGCGGGGCTGGGGAGCTGGAGCGGAGCCGAGGGGCCGGAGCGCACCCGCGGAGCCGAGAGGCCGCAGCGCAGTCGAAGGGCTGGAGCGGGGCTGGGGAGCTGGAGCGGAGCCGAGGGGCCGGAGCGCACCCGCGGATCTGCGGTCCCGGAGCCCGGAGGTCACCCGTGCATGTCCCGGAGCGCACCGCGGATCTCCGGTAGCGGAGCGCAGCCGTGCAGGTCCCGGAGCGCACCCGCGGATCTCCGGTCCCGAAGCGCACCCGTGCAGGTCCCGGAGCGCAGCGGCAGCCGCGGCTCTGCCCGTCTCGCCGGGGCTCAGAGCGGCGGGGCGGGGATCACGCCACGGCCGCCGGCCCCATCGGGCCAACCGGGCGGGTTAAGCATTAACGGGGCCGCGGGAGGGGGTGCGGGGCGGTGGGGCCGCGGGGAGAGGGCAAATGGGGCCGCTGCTCACCCCCAGTCCCGGCGGATCGCTGGGGGCTCTGGCGAGCAAAGCGCAGCCTCTCAAGGACTGTTTTCAGAAAGGGCTGAAAGCTTTAATGTGCCTCCTACTGCCTCACTCCTCGAATAAATTCCCGTGAAATCCTCTAATCCTGTTTGGGCATTTTTTACAGAGTCGTCACACATCGCAAATGTCCTTTTTGCGGCGCTTTCCCTCGGGTCTCCACGCCGCTTCCCACCTCAGCATCGGGATCCCACACTGCCCCACATCCCCAGTGACCTTCGGAAAACCCTGTCCCTGCTCCCGGCTTTTCAGGGAAATAGGAACATATTTGTGTTTTGGCTCGTTATTTATAAGCTTCTCAGAGCTTGTATGTTTATATGGATGCACATGTTTTATACAGATGTGTGTGTTTCGTGTGGATGTGTATGGTTTGTATGAATATGTGTTTTACATGGATGGACCTGTTTTAGATTTGTGTGTATGGATTGCATGGACATTGATGTTTTATGTAAGTGTGTATGTTTTATAAGGATGTGCATGGTTTATATGGATGTGTGTGTTTAATATGGATGTGGACAGTTTGTGTGGGAAATGTCAATTTTTTTAATGAGACCTCAAGTGAGTGCCTGAACTCTGGTTTGGCTAACTGCAGGACACCAGACCCTGTTTGTCACCCACTCTGCTGCAGAGAGCTGACACTGGAAGGGGTCAGCATTCAGGACACTGATCATGGCGACAAGTCTCGCTCCAGATTTTGGGCTCAGCTTCCTCAGTGCTGCTAAGTCCCACAACGCACCACTGGGGCCTCAGGAGGCTTCTGAGACAGCTGAGCACGGGGGGACTCCATCTCAAGAGGGAAAAGTCTTCCTTTCCCTGCGTTTTTGCTCTGGGGACAATCCATGTCCCAGGGAAGGAAGGAAGGAAGAAGCCCAAAGAGGAGGCAGGGGGTGATGGAGGCCCCCCAGTACCATGTGCATCCCCATGTGCTGATGAACCCATGGAGGTCTTGGCACGAACACCCGACCCCAGCGCCTGGGAAGGGATCTGGCCCAGCTCTCACACTCCAGGAGTGGATAGAAAGGTTCTTTTTTTTTAATTGAGAAATTATTCAGAAAGAGCCTAAAATTTGCCCCTTGAACAGAAGAGCTCTGTTTCGGTCCTGGCTCCCTGCGGGGCTGCATAAAGGAGGGGATCCTGCTGAGAGGAGAGGAATGAGAGAGCGGAGGAGACATCAGAGAGGATCTCAACAAGCGGGAAGGGTTCCTAAATCCCTGCTGCCGTCCCTCCGGGGGGAGAGATGGGGCTCCGGGCGGTGCGCACACAGGGCTGGGTGCCCTGGGCCGAACATCCCGTCGGTAAAAAGAAGCTCTTCCACAGATTTTGTGAGACCTTTCCCGTGTGTGAGCATCTGAGCGTTAGAGCGCCACATCTTAAAGGTATGGGGGAAGTGCTGCGCTGCACCAGCCGGGAATCGAACCCGGGTCGCAAGAATGGGAATCTTGCATGATACCACTACACCACTGGTGCGCTGATGTCACTACCTCCCGCGGGCCACCAAGGGGTCGGGCCTGACCCCGTCCCGCGTGCGTGACACCCGTGGGTGACAACGCCAGCTCTTGGGGAGGGTGACACGTGTAGGTGGCACTGCAAGCCCTTGGGGAGGGTGACACGCGTGGGTGGCACCGCCAGCCGTTGGGGAGGGTGACACGCGTGGGTGACACCGCCAGCCCTTGGGGAGGGTGACACGCGTGGGTGGCACCGCCAGCCCCTTTCCCCCCCATCAGCTCCCAGCCGCGGGGTCCCTGGGGAGGGTGACATGCGTCCCTCCCCTTCACAAGCTGAGCCAGACCCGGGGCTGCTGGCGGCGCTTAATGCCATGCAGGAATGTCCCGATTCCCACAATGTTTAACCTCTGCCGGCTCGGGAGCCGAGTCCTTCGGCTCAAGGATGCTGTGCCAGGGGAAGAGGGTCCAGGCTCCATGTCAGCCCCCTCCTCTGCTTCTGCCCGGAGAAATGCTTCTGAAAAACAGATTTCTTTTGCCAAAAATGAGTGCCAAACCATGAGGTAGGAATCTCCTCTATGAGGAAATTCTGAGAATATTCAGCCTGGAGAAGAGAAGGCTCCAGAGAGCTTAGAGCCCCTTCCAGTACAGAGGCCACAGGAAAGCAGGGAGAGGCTTTGGACTGTAAAGCCCTGGCACAATTATCCCAGGGAAACTGTGGATGTCTCATCCTTGGAAACATTCAAGGCCAGGTTGGATGGGCCTTGGAGCAACCTGGTCTAGTGGAAGGTGTCCCTGCTCATGGCAGGGGGCTTAGAACAAAATTCTCTTTAAGGTCCTTTCCCAGCCCAAACATTCTGTGTTTCTATAGGTAAAAGCTTCTGGGTCTCTACCGGATTCCCACACTCCACAGGAGCAGTGACACAGTGACATCCTGCCCTGGGCACCCTCTGAAACTCATCCCAACAGCATTCCTAGAGCCACCACGCTCCCCCACACTGGGAAGGACAGGCAGGAAGTGAGTACATGCAATCAATCTGGTAATGCTTCCTCCTGGAGAGCATCTCACAATCCTGTGACAATGTTTAGCCAACACTGGAGCTTTCATTCCCCACCCTCCTGTAGGCCATAAACACCCCAAGGTGTGTAGGTGCTCCCTGCCCTTCTGCCTGGCTGCTTTGGTGACACCAAGGTGAGTGAAGGGTGCAGGAGTGTCACAGGGGTGTCACGCCTCAGGTACAGCCTTTTCTTGCACACCCTGCCCTGTACCAGCACAACACTCCCTGGGTGGCAAGGGAACACAGGAACATCCTTCCAGGGCTCTCATGCTCCCTTTCCCTTGGTGCTGGAGGACAGCTTTCCCTCACTTTTGTGCTTGGGGGGTTGGAACTGCAGGATTTTTAAGTTGCCTTCCACCTCAGTTCTGTGATTCTATGGAATTTGCTGGAGACATGTGCTCCCAAGCCTCCCGGGGCCATGCCAGGCACAGATCCAGCTTTCCCAGAACAGAACAAGGGACCCTCAGCATCCCCATGCTGTTGGACCCACTGAGGCTTTGATCCAAACCCAGCCATCCTGGGGAGGTTCAGCCTCACAGATCCCCACAGTCCTGAGCAGCCAAAGGTTGTGGCTCCCATCACCAGTGCTGCCATCTCTGTGTGCTGGACACAGGCTGAGGAGAGCCCCTGTGTTGTCCCTGTCAGGCTGAGACCCATCCACGTGGTTTGGAACAAGCGCTTTTTATTCACAGGAAGTTTGGGGATGGTGGGAGCCAGCGTGCAAACTGTTTACACTGACCCAGCAGGCAGTGTGCAAATCCAACACCTCAGGTGCCATCACCAGGGCTTTGGCTCAGCTGTGTCCTCCTCCCTGTGCCCCCAAGAAGCTGGTCCTTGTGCAGGAGGTAGGGGACAGCACGATCTGTCACCTCCATCACCCCTCTCCCAACATGGAGATAGGAAGGCTGCCTGCTGCAGGATACTCAGGATCTAATTTTACTTTCAGCAGGGCTTGGATAAGCGGGAAAAAGACTTTGAGGACAGCTCTGCCTGGTAAAACCCACCTGCATTGAGCACATTTTACTTACCTAAACCTGATCCTGTTCCAAACTGCACAGACAATCCTTTCCCTTCCTAAGCACAATATTTAGCCCAGATCGTGCCCATCCCAGCTTCTCTGTGCCCACCCAAATGGCTTTGGCTAGGAGGCCTTGTCCATATTCTGTTGAATTCAGGATCTGGGTGTACCCCCTTTGGGTTTGGGGGTAATGAGAACCTCCTGAGTGGCTGGGTGTGCACAAGGGGCGCAGCATGGCACAGGGATAGGCAGGAACCTGGGGCCACTGCACTTTTGGGGACAGCGCCCTTTCCTCCAGGCTGTGACCTGTGTGTCCCCTCCATGCGTCCAGCCCATGCCAAGTGGCCATTCTTTCCAGGAAATCAGTTTTCCGGCTCAAAAAGGCCATCACTGTCCTTGAGTGGCGCATCCGACTCCTCCTGGAGCCCGTAGTAGAGATCATCCTCCTCCCCTGGGCCTTTCCGTGGGGACAGGGGGTGCTCTCCCCCCGCCGGGGAGTTGCTCGGGGTGCGGCCAGCGGAGGGCAGGGTCCGGCTGGGTGTTGTGGGGCTGCCGGGCACGGAGCCCTCCAGCGATGGCGTGTCCATCTCCTCCAGCAGCGATGCCAGCGGAGCATCCCCCGGGGCTGGCCGGGCGGGGCTGAGGGGACAGGGTTACACCAAACGCGGCTGGGCAGGACCTGCAGTTCCCCCTGGATGCTCAGGCAGCATCCCAGCATTATCTGTCCCCTTGCTGGAGCACCCAACCCTCAGAGCCTGCCTTTATGGGGATACCTGCCTGCCAGGTTCCTGCTGCCCTCGGGGTGAAGTTGTGGCTGTCCTTGCATTTCCTGAACCTACAGCTGGGATGGGAAAGCATTGCACCCGTCCCAGCTGTAGCTACATTTTGGCAGGTGCCCAAGTCCTATGCCTTGAGCCTGAACAGTGACCCCCATCACCTGCAGAACCCTTTGGAACCTCCCAAACCAATGCTTGGCATCTGATTTGAGCATCTCATTTCTATCAAAGTCTGACCAGGAACTTTGGAGTTATTCTTGTGAGGGATGCTGTTTATATTGATAAAAGGAAATAAAAGCAAAAGGCAAAAGAACAAACATCAAAATGCAAATTACGACCAAAGGCCATCTAAATTTCCTCCTGGGAAATAATTTGGTTCAGAGAATCTTTGTGGATTGAGACACCATCCAGACTTCAGTGGGGCCAAGAGCGTGGAGGCTCAGTGCTGAAAACCCCTCTGCATCCTCTCCCTCCCCCAATACTGGGGGTCTGACCCCCCCATTTTCACTCCACATCCCACCAGTGCCACCCCAACCCCCCAGGAATCACATACCAGCTGCCTGCTGCTGTTTCCAGGCGAGTTGCCAGGTCCTGGAGGGGCTCTCCAGCACCCCCCAGCTCCCGGTGGATCTCTGCTCTGGCCTGCACGGCTGACTGGGAGCAGCTGCGGGGTCTGGGCTGTGCCGTGGCTGGGAGTGGAGCTGAGCTGAGCACCTGCCTCTGTATCTGCTCATAGGATGGCAGGCTCTTCTCGTAGGGGCTGGTGGCCTCTTGGTTGGGGCAGGGGGCAATCAAGCTGCAGGCAAAGGGATAACAGGGTGCTGAGCAGACCTGGACCCCGTGGAGCATGGAGATGCTCATGCACACAGGGCTCCATCACCTGAGGGAGTGGTTTTAGAGGCCACCAAGGTCATGTCACTGCCCACACCAAGCAACAGAGCCTGCAGGAACATCAGTGGATGCTCTGCATCCCCCAGCATCACTCAGTCTCAGCCCTGGGGGATCAGGTAGCTCTTGCCTCTCCCAGCCTGATCCCTGCTTGGCATTTTGTGCTGTAGGAGGTGCAGCTGTCCCCAGTCTCAGAGCCTGCCCTCGGAGCACACACGTCACCCTGTCGTGGGACCCACCCTGCGTCCTTCTGTGGCAGCACCATGGGTTTGTGGTCCAGGAACCGCTGGGTCTCGATGTCCGCAGGGACGAACGTTATCTGGGGAGAAAAGAGAGGCAGAGCCCAGGGGCTGTGCTAGGAATCACGGGGACCCTCAGCTCTCAGAGTGGGAAAAGGGCCAGAGTGTCCCTTCAGCTGGGTTTAGGGTTCTGTCCCACCATATTTGGATGTTTTCCTTGGAAATGGCTGTTTTGAGGGAATCAATAAGGAATGAATGAATCCAGCCCTTCTCTCAGTGCCTTTCCCCTGTGGAGTCACACATGTCCCCAAGCCCAGAGGGAGTCCCAAGGCACACACAGCAGGTCAGTGGTCAGGGACCACACTGAGGGTGTCCCATCCTTGAGCCTCGAGCACAGTGGCAAAGCCACATCTCCCTCCTAGCTGGGACTGAGCTCAGCTTTGAGGGGAGTTGGGTTCCTGCTTCACCCCAGCCCCAGGGAAAACAGCTGCTTTCAGAGGTCCCAGCTGGTCCTGGGTCCGGAGGTGACCCCCCCACATTTTGGAGGGCAGCCAGGTTGTTGACAGGCCATCCAGCAGAGCCCAGATCAGTCCTACAGATGCCCTCTCTTTGGAAAAAAACCTTTCTGCCAGACCCGTTTCCCAGGGCAGGGACGCGTGGCTGCTCCCCGTGCTGGCAGTGCCCTCTGCCAAGGAGACTGGCAGGTGAGGGCTGGCTCAGGGGGGCCAGGACCCTCTGACCTCCATGACCATGACAGTCCCTTCCTGGAAGTCCTGGGAGCTTCCCAAGCCTCGGATCCCAAGGAAGGGGCTGCATGGGAGAGATGAACACAATTCTTTGGGATTATTCCCTGCTGTCTGTTTGAAAGCAAAGCCCCAGGCTCAGGGGGTGTGCAGGGGGTGAAGGAGATGGGGCACATCCTGCAGGCATCAGCAGGGCACAAGCTTCCCAAAACTATTCCCCCTCCAGATTGCTGCAGCTGGCTTCCCCTGGGGAAACTGAGGCATAGCCTGAGGCTGCACATCCACAGCAGCCAAAGCCCCCCAAACCCAGCTGAGCCCTCGAGCCCCCCAAAGTGCTCAGCAGCAGGAAGGATCCTACCTTTGGGTAGCACTGGCACATGCTCCAGGTGATGCCCACGGCTACCAGCAGGACACCCAGGACGCAGAAGGTGATGTAGTACTGAGGCTTTTCCACGCTCATGATGAACATCCCCACCATCACCAGGAAGAAACCCAAGATGATGAACCCGTAGCGGAAGGTCTTCTCCTCTGCCATGGGCTCCAGCTGCGAGAGGCAGGAGGAGAGATTTTGGGAAGCCTGTGGCTGCTGTCTGCTGTGCACACCTGCAGCGTAAGGCAAGGAGTGGTTTCTGTCTCCAGAGGCTGCCAGGAGCTGAGGATCAGCTGCACGTTGAGCTGGTCCTGCCCAGGGCTGAGCCAGCCAGTTTTTAATGGGTTTGTAATGAATGCAAACACTGCCCCGCCGTTCACACTCCAGTGGAGCCACCCTGCACGTGTCCGGGTAACCTTCCCTGCAGGCACACTCAGCTGGACCCCAGGCCTGGGGAAGGGACAGGGAGGCAGAGGGGAGCACGACTGGAGGGATGGGGACCCGGAGATCAGCTGGTGCTCTTGGGATTTTCCCAGCCCTGGGCACTGGGGCTGGACTTGGTCATAACTCAGAGCTGGCACAGCCCCAGAAAAGGGGGATGCCAGAGCCCAGCAAGTTCTCAAGGGCTGTGGGACTGCAACAGGAAAAGAGGGAGTGCTCCAGGGTCTTTTTGGAGGAACAGACCCTGCCTTGCTCTGGCTGAGTGCTAAGGCTACCTCACTGGGCAGCAAATGGGCTGTGGAGGAGGAACTAAAGCCAAAAAAGGATGGAGTGAAGTTGGTCCACCAACGGAGAGTAAAGACAAAGTATCCCTGGGCCCTGTGTATACTCAGGTTGGAGCTGGGGTGTTAAAAGGTATCATCTTCCCACCACACATCCAAGAGCCGGAGTGTGTTTGTTTTGTTCTTTTGATTTATTCCCTCATTTTATTCCCTTGATACACCTGGTTTATGACAAGTAATTGTATTATAAACAATATGTTAGATGTGGCTGCAGCTCCTCAGCCACTCTGCAGCCCTGCAGGGCCACAGGGGGCCCAGGGCAGCCCTTTATTTTGGTGGGATACAGGAACAGGCAGCATCCCTGCCATAGCTGGCCTTTCCTCTGGGCAAGGCTGCACATCCATCCGTGGAGGGCACAGAGGGCTGGGCTGTGCCACTCAGGATGGCTTTTCTAGGAGGCTGCCTGAAATGCCAAGTGCACTTGGATGCTCTGACCACAGGCACGACCCACTGAGCATCTCTAGAACCAAGTGAAGTGAGGCATGGGGAGCCAATATTCAGGGAAGCAAGGTGGAAGGGATGGAGACAGGGCTGGAAGGGGCATTGCAAAGGCACAGAAGCGAATGAGGCAGACAGAGCTGGGCTTTGTCCGGCCAGATTACTCGGTCTTTGCTACAGATTTATTATTGGTTGGGCAGCCCCCAGCCTGACAGGAGCTCCCCAGGGTGGGCCAGAGCAGAGAACACAAAGCCTCTGAAACCAGCAGTGGTTTTATTAAAAATATGAAAGCTTTCAAACATGCCAGTTACCCCCGAGGCTCTGAACACACGGCCCGCAGGACCCACAATCCCAGCAGCGCCGGACACACGGCTGGGACAGCCCGGAGAGCCAGGCTGCCCTTCCCACTCCTCCCCACCCTCCTCTCACCCCACCCACAGTGAAGAGGCTCAGTGTAAAGCTGTGGGACTGGGCAGCCGCCCGCAGAGTCCCGGCCCGGGCAGCCCCAGCTCAGAGCTGATGTTCTCACTGATGTTCTCACTGATGTTCTCATGGATGTTCTCATGGATGTTCTCATAGCTGGGGGGAGGTGTCGCCTGCGGCTCCCCGGGCTGCGGCGTGTCCAGCCAGGACGGGCTGGGGCGGAACAAGGCGCTGTCGGAGGAGCTGCGCCGGCGGCCGCCCTGCCAGCTCTCATCCTCCTCCAGGTAGCGGTACAGGGGCGGCGTGAGCTCCTCCTTCCTCCCCGGAGGCTGCACATAGGCCTGGGCACCGTGGGCAGGTCTGCAGGTCAGGGCTTCTTCGTAGGTGGGGATGGCAGTGGCGTCCCAGGTGCTGCGAGGGAAGAGGAAGAGACCCAGCAGTGCACACCATCAACATCCCAGCACCCAGCTGGAGCATCCCAGCACTCAGCTGGAGCATCCCAGCACCCAACTGGAGTTTCCCAGTGTCCCATTAGCTGGAGCATCCCAACATCCCATCAACCCCATTGTCTGGAGCATCCCTGAGCATTAATGCGTGTAGTGGGGACAGCAGGTTTTGCTGAAGTGTCATGTGTCATGTGTCCAGGGGTGACCATGTCAGCTGCTTCCTGGCATCCATGAAGTTTTGCAAGAGGGTCCCATGGGCAGAAGAGCATCCTCATCATGTCTAACCCCTAATTCATCTCCTGAAGAACAGAGGCTGCCGACAGCGGAGGGAGTAGTTTGGCACAAGAACCTGGACGAGCACCAGACACCCCACCATGGTCACATCCCACTCCCATGCCAGCCAGAGCCCTCCCTGCACTGGCCAAGCCTGGTGCCACTTGCAGCAGAGTTTTCTGAGCAAACACAGCTTGTGTACAAGGAAAACCTCTGGCAACCTTTGCCCTGCTTAGCACCCCACAGAATGGTGCAGTCACAAAGTTGGGGATGCCGTGAAAACAGCTCATCACTGCAGATGAAGCCCAGCCCAGTGAGCTGGGGAGGCAGCGGGCATGGGAGGGCACAGCTGGTCCAAAGGAAAAGCCATGTGCTCCACAGGGATGCCTGATGGGATGCAGATCTCTGTCCCAGACAGACCATCCCGGGCTTCTCTGCCAGGGGTTTTGCCAAACAGCCTCAGCTTGCACAGGAATGCTGCCTTGGAAATGTGGAGAGGGGGATTTATCCCAGCACAGGATGTTTTGCTGAGGCTGGAGAAGCTGTTGCAGCACCAGCACTGCCAGGGTGCTGCATCCCGTCCAGCAGGGGAGCTGGGAGCTCAGGGAAAGGGACATTCCCCACAGGGGCACAGCAAAGTCCCTCCCTGGGACAAGGAAACTCCCCCCAGATACCCAGACCAGCTCACAAGCTCACAGATATCCAGATGGGCACTGAAACCCCTGGAGAACCAAGAACGTGCTTTCCACTCCAACTGTGTTTTTATGGTTTAATGTTCCTAAGAATTTCTTTCAGTGCTGCTTTTCCCCAGAGCCCGATTTATGCCAAAGCCACGATCTTTTCTGTGACCCCATAAAGCAGCACTGGGAAGGGTCGGCTGGCTCTGCTTCCACAGCAGTCTCCAGGAAAAAAAAAAAAAAAAACTAAATTTTTAAATTAAATTAAGAAGTGGGAGTAAATCTCAGGCTCAGACTGGAAGATTCAGGGAACCTAAAAAGCAGCAGTGGTGTTCAGGGCAGGGCAAGGAGTCTTCCTATACCCTGAAATGGGCTTCATAAAGGATCTTCTGCCTACATTCCTATCATTATTTTCTTTTTTTTTTCCCCCTCATTTAACTCCCTAGTAAGATTTTGCTTCCATTAAAGATGTTATAAACACCCTCACCCTTACAGAGCATTGCAGACTTGGGAGACCAGAACTGGAGCTCCGAGTGACCCCTCCCCACACCCAAACCTTCTGCCAGAAAACCAATGTATTCTTCTGCTTGGTGGCCCTGCTAAGGAGATGTGTCCCTCGGCATGTGATGGCCCTGCAGGGCAAGGAGAGCTGGATGCAGCCAGCATGGGCACGGAGGGGGTGGGCAGGGAGGGACTCTGGGGGCTTGGGTTGATATTAATGAGCAGGAGCATCTGCTCGGGGAGCAGGAGGAGAGCACAGAGCAGTGCTGCCACTCCTGTGAGCTCACCAGCCAGCCAGGTTTAGGCTCAGGTTTAGCCTCAGGTTTAGCCGGACCCATCCTCCACCTCTGCCCACCCAGGCAGTGGCACGGACGAGGCTCCCACCTGCAGTTCCACTTCTCCGGAGGCTCCGCCGTGAAATACTGCAGGTCCCTGGGAAAATGGTACTGGTAGCGCCGGGACACCACCCTGGCGTTGGCCTTGACGGACCAGAGGAGGCCGAAGATGAGGAGGATGCCGCCGATGCCGCAGCAGAAGAAGCTGACGGAGCGGAGCAGGGCGCTGGAGGAGGAGGAGCTGGGCACAGCCTCGGCTTCCCGGGGAGGCAGGAGGCGAGCCCCGCTGCCGGAGCCCACCTCCCCATCACTCCACCAGGCAAAGCACAGCGTCCCCGTCACCAGCAGCACCGCCCCCGTGATGGTCAGGCCGTAGCGGAAAGAGGCGGCTGCCATCCTTCAGGAGAAGGTTTCAGGAGGGGAGAAGAGCGAGACACGGCATGAGAGACAGCCCTCGTCCTGTAAGACAAGAAGGGTGACAGGTTTGAGAGGGAGAAGCTCGTGGAAGACCCGCCAGAGGAGAAAACGACCGAGTGAGGAGGTCTCCAGGGCTTGCAGCCTCTTTAGCCGTCATTATTATCCATCATAAAGGGCATTTCCACCATCTCAGATGGAAGCCCTTGGGAAGAGCAAAGCCAGTGCCAGGTTGGACCCATAAACTTCCCAACAGCCTCGTAAAAACATCCTAATTTTCAAGGAACAACACTCCTTATAAAGACAGGAGACACCCCAGCCCCAGGCGCTGAACTCTTCTCTTTGGGTTTTATTCCAGATTTCCTCCCAGACCTGGAGAAATGCCAGCTGGGTTTCCTGGGTTTTCAAAGCATGGCTTATGGAAGAGGTTGGAGATTTTTAAGATGTCATCACTTCCAAATTATCAGTGTGCTTGTTTTCTCCTCCAGAACTGATGACATTGGAAAAATCTGCTCAGTCTTCATCCACATGAAGTTTGGCACACAAAACCTTGCTTGCCTGGGTCAGCTCCAGTGCAAACCTTCTAAAGTTCCATTCAAGACCTGTCCTGCTGGTGATAAACCACCTTCACCCTCCCTATCACGGTGATTTGGGGTTGGTTTGACAACAAAGCTGGTGAGGTAGTGCCATATGTTCCTGCTGGGTGGCCCCTCTCAGCTAAATGTCACATGCAGAGAGTTTCCCTGGTGCTGGAAAAGTTTGGGAGCTGGTTTATGATCTCAGTCCCCATTGCTTTCTCCAGCAAACAGCAAGCATCTGCTCCCTCAGCTTGTGCATCCCCAGCTCCCTACTAACCAACTAACAGAGACAGGTCCCACCACGTGCCCTCTGGCCCTGCTCACTGCCCAGCAAGAAGATGCAGGTTCAGCTCCTGCTTTTCAATGGACAAAAAGCTTTGGACCATGTTGGACAAGCTTAAATTATGCCCTTAGATCTGGAAGTGCAGAGCCAGAGCTAGGCAGGGAGCAGAAGTCCAGTGTGGACTTGGTGTCATCAAGGTCAGGTAGAATTTTGTTATTTCAAGCTGTTATTTATCAGATGGGCCCACTAAATGGAAAGCCAAATTACCTTGTAGTGAAAGAAACACTATCTGATCTAATCGACATTTAATGAAGGAATCTGATGAGAAGTGACATTTAGGAAAGCTGCAGGAGTGGGAGCTCCAACAGCTCACTCCAGCTTTTGTCCCAGGGTCACAAGCCCAGAATGCCACCCGGGCTGGCTGTGGCCAGTGGCCATCAGCTGTGGCCACCTGCTGGGAAGGCAGTCATGCTCCTGGGCTGAGAAAAGGCAGAGCTTCCCTCTGTAATGGGGGAATGTTTGGATGCTCCCTCCTGAATGGCAGGGGCTTGGCTGAGCTGAGATGGAGAAGAGACTGGTGGGGATGGTATTAGATGCTGTCAGGGATCAGCATCCCCAAACCATCACTGAACATGAGCAGGACACAACAGAAGAGCTGGACTCACGCTGCCTTGCAGCAGGGGATGCTGAGGAGAGTGCAAGGATCCCACTGACCTGTGAATGCAGCTCCTTTGGACAGCAATGCGTTTTCATGTAGGAATTTCAGCATAATGTTTAGAGAAAAAAACATCACCCAAGAAACCTCCAACAGCAAAGCTCTGAATCCAACGGCATGGAAATGTCAGGCCACTCCAAGCTGGAACACTGGACTGAACGTGCACCAAGAACTGAAATGTTCACCTCCTGCAATAAACACTCTCCTCATTCTGGGGTCAGACTGGTGAGCTCTGGGAGATGCTCTGAATTCCCTGGTGAGATTTAGGAGATGCTGTGATTCCCCTGCCCGTGCACAGGGAATTTTGCAGCCTCCAGCACTGAGCACATCTGGGAGAACTGGCAGCGAGGGGGAGGCGGAGAAGCCTCTGGTGGAGAAGCCTCTGGGAGGTGATGGATTGACAGCTCGAGAGAATAAACTCTTCTCTCTCTTGACAAATCCAGCGCAGCGCAGGGAGCGCCGATGAAAGCTCCCCCAGCCTCCCCGCACGTGTTCCCGCAGCGCTGTGCGGGGGCAGCTCCGCCACTGCTGGGTGACATCGCCACCGCTGGGTGACATTGCTACCGCACCGTCCCCTTGCCAAGCCCCTTCTCCGGCTGCCACAGTGCTCCTGAGCCTCTCTGAAAGACTCACGGTGTTTTCTCAGCACACCAACCTCTGGAAGAAGAGACTGAAGGAGCAGAGGTGCGAGGCTGGGGCAGGACCCGAGGCTCCCGGAGCCTCTCCCGGCTCCACTCCCTGGGCATTCAGCATCTGCACAGCGGCTCTCCCTCTCCATGAGCATTCCCAGCACAAGTTTTCACGGAGCCACAGCAACTGCCGGCTCTCAAACACCCTTCTCCACTCTCCGAGCCACCCTGACATTTTGTTCTGCCCTGTCTCCTCCTTTGACCTGCTCTGAAATACTTTTCGAGGGAATAGATTTGCACGTTGCATGTACAAACAGATAGAAATGTTGATAGTTTACATAGTTTCAGTGAAATGCTGAGAATAGCAGCCCCCATATAAAGTTATGCAGATGGTGATTCATAGGGTCTACTAAGCATTACTCAGAAAAACGCTCTTTTCAAGCAACACGAGAAAAGAAAAGAGTTTTGAACCTCTCCCACCGCCATCAAGCAGAAATCCACCTCCACACCCGTCCCTCCACGGCACTTACAGACCGTCCTTCCATGCGGGGCTGGAGACCTTTAATCACAGAAGAACGCCGGGCAAAGACGCTCACCAAAGCGTGAGCATGCCTGTAAGGAGATCCTTTCCTGCCTTTATCCAAATTCACTGTTTTGTTGTGATAGTTATCAGCGAGAGCTTGGTCCCCATTCAAAGCAAAGTGATCGTCATGCCTTGGAAGAGCACCCGAGAACTCCGGTGTGCAGAGGACACCGGGACAGAGGACACCACATGTGTCCCCTCAGCCGGGCTTCGGGGCCGTGCCTGAGCCCCACATCCCCTCCTCTTCGGAGGTGGTGGTCCCCGGGGTCTGTCCCGCCCGGCACAGCGCCCAGCCGGGGGGTGCCCGTGTCCCCCCGCCCGGCCCCAGCCCCGCCGCGTACTCACCGCCGCCGGCAGCCCCGCTCCGGCCGAGCGGCGGCTCCGCCGAGCGGGGGGCGGCGGCGGCTCGGGGCGGGCAGGGACCGCAGCTCCCTCCTTCCCTCCCTTCTGGCAAGGCGGGCGAGCGGCGAGCGGCTCCTCACAGCCCGCTCCCGTTCTGTCCCGTCCCGTCCATTCCCGTCCCGTCCCGTCCCGTCCCGCTCCCATCCCTGTCCCGTCCCATTCTGTTCCGTGCATTCCCGTCCCGCTCCCATCCCGCTCCCATCCCTGTCCCGTCCCATTCTGTTCCGTCCATTCCCGTTCCGCTCCCATCCCGCTCCCATCCCTGTCCCGTCCCATTCTGTTCCGTGCATTCCCGTCCCGCTCCCATCCCGCTTCCATCCCTCTCCCGTCCCGTTCCGTTCCGTCCCGTCCCGCCGGGGCGCGGCGCTCCCGGGAGTTCGGGTTCCCGTGCGGCTGGGACACTCCTGCGCTGGGGACATCGCTGCTGTCCTTTGTGTGGGACACCCGCGCTGCAGCACGGGAGGGTCTCTGCCCTCAAAGGCTTTAGCTCTCCTCACTCTCCTCCTCTCACTTTAGTTCTCCTCACCTCTATGTCAAACGCTAATATTGTCCCTTTTCCTCTTTTTCCGTTCCTCGTTCTGAATTAGAACGGTTTGGGTTTGGAAGGACCTTTTAAAGGCCATGTAGTCCAAACTCCCTGCAGCCAGCAGGGATATCTTCAATTCGATCAGGCTGCTCAGAGTCCCATCTCACCCGGCCTTGAATGTTTCCGGGAATGAGGCATTCACAGCCTCTCCGTGCCAGTATTTCACCAACTTCACTGTAAAAAACACTTTTTGTCTTTGTAGCTAATCTAAGCCAACCCTTTTTTAATTTAAAACTTTTTTTTTAGTTTAAAACCTGCAGCACTCAGGACACCTGGATATTAAAAAAGCTGAGGGTGCTGTGATCCAAATTTCGGGATATTAAGTATGACAGCATCTGGATTCAGGCACAATTCCTCATCACGGAGCTGGAGGGAGATTTGATCAAGAGCTGTCCTACCATGTTGTGCTATGGCTGAGCATCTCACACATCCACACATCCACACATCCACAGACCCACAGATCCACCACGCTGCCCTTGGGCTACAGCTGAGCATCACTGACAGGCAGAGCCATTTCTGTGGCTACCCTGGGCTGCTGTTCCTGCACTCCTTGGAGCTCCTCATCTCACCAGCTCAAAACCAGCTCAAAGTTTACCTGCACATGCTGCAGGGACTGCTGCAAAGCCCCGCTGTGGAATCCATATCTGCTTCATAGATTTGAGAAGCTGCTCAGCCCATCTGAGAACGTGTGGGTGTACAGCCCCATTTACCTGCAGCCACTGTGGAGTTTTACAAATGGCAAACCGAGGCACACGAAGGGCTGGCTCACACAGGAGTGACCCTGCAGCAGGTTGGGTCTCCATCCTAGAGGAACATGGGGGCAGAAGTCCCCAAGGCCAGCACCCAGTGGTGTGGGGGCACTGTGAATCAGCAATCAGGCTGTTGAAGGATATTTAGACAACTTTTTTCTGCTTCTTACCTGCTCAGATATCGTATTTAACTGAAATTTGACTGAAATAGCATCTGAAGCACTTCAAGGTGGTTTTAGTGCATGGCTCCACGCTATTCCCAGCACAGGGCTGCAGAGTGAGATGGCTTTGTGCCAGCACACTGGTTTTTCCACCCCATAACCATCCACAACCTTCTGCCTTGCCCAGAGGTCTGGCCTACAGACAACCACAAACTCATGACAAATATTCCACCACAAGGTAGAATATTTGTCATGAGTTTGTGGCTAGAAGTGCTGAGTGCTACCAGCACCTCTGTCTGCTTAGCAGCAACTTGGCCAAAATGTGTTTTCCCTTTCCTTTCCTG